CTGCAAGAGCCAATAAGCGTCGTGTAGGGAACTTTATTTTTTGGCGGGAGAATCATCCAGCCCAGGGTTGGATGACCAGATCTGGACACGGGCTTGTGTGTGTGTGGTGGGTGGGTATGAATGGATGTTTTTGTGCTCATTTGCTCCTTTTCATTTGCATTTCATGCTCCGCAAGCTCTTTGACATCTTTTCATCCAGCACCTGTTAGTCCACCAGCGTAGTCTTTTAAGCTTGCTTGGCCCACTGGCAGAACATTGGCGTCCTCGACGTAGTGACGTAGGTCGTATAGAGTGGGTTTTTTTATTTTGGGTCAGCCCGGTTAGGATAACTGCAGTCACACTTGTTAGGTCGCTTATTTAGGCGCAGATCTGTGTGGTAGAATATTTTGTCGGTAGAACTGTTTGTATTTGCCCGGAACAATTGTCGTAGGTCGCCCGCTCTTGTAGCCGGACATCTTCGACGTTAGGCTTTTTTATTGGTAGAAGTATTCGCTCCCAATCCATAATATCGTCGAACCCACGAAAGTTATGTACAAGCATAAGGGTTCCGTAGATGATTATATCCGTATAATGGTAGGAACTTATTTTCGTTGTTTCGTTGTAGAGAATTAAAGCGGTAGAACAAAAGGTGACAGAGCGGTCATCGAGAGACAGGCCATGGCGGAGCAGGCGGCTCACAAGCAGGAGCGCATCATCGACTGTCCAATGGCTGGAGACATCCAGCGTTAGAGTCATCACTCTGCTAGAGACCCTGCTGTTCATCTGCAAATGTGACGCACCGATTGAGATGTGGGTTCAATTGGTTCGTCACTTTGCAGAGCGACAGACACCAGGCTTCCCCAAGAACGGCTACGGTGCTTATAATACCAGGTGAGCCGTTGATCAACAACAGCTGCTATACTCGAGAACCTTAGTACGGAGGTTGCTCACAACAAGCACAGTGTTTTTATACTCGGTACCTTTTTCCTATTTATGCAGATACGGGTTTGCCGAGCTCATCGCAAGCACTGCTGCATATCTCCGTGCTCGTCAGCAAGTCTGGTTGCAGTGTAGTCCATTCATCGGAATAACCTGTGACGAGAGTACATATCGTGTGCATGTCAAACACCAGATCGTGTTTGCCACGTTTCTCCGTGAATCTCGTGCAGTCACGGAGTACATCGGTCTACTGACGGTGGAGAAATGCGATGGCGCTTCTCTGCTTTTCGTGTTGGTGACCCTCCTTGACCCTCTTGGAATCGACAAGAGCAGGGTCGCCGGGATTAGCACGGATGGCGCTGGTGCGATGATGGGTAGCACAACGGACTGGTGGCTCGGGTGCGTGTAATGGCCCAGCACCTTTTCTCCAGCCATTGCGTAGCACATCGGTGAGTATTACTCATTGCCAGTGTGTGTTGCATCTAAATGCCCATCTCATTGCGCAGAAAGTGTAAGGCAGTGTAAGGCAGGCATGCGCTCACATGATGTACAGCTAATGCCATTTCTCGCTCTTTATATTTCCTCCTCCCCTTACAGCAACGGCCCGCAAAAACAGTCTATGCAAATCCTCCCTCCTTCAACCAAATCTGCCCTTCTATCCCCGTTACCCTCCCTTCTCTCGTGCCCACCTCATGTTGTGCAGAGAGGCGCTGGCAGCCAAGGATGCCACCACTGTAGTACCTGTCAGAACATTATAGCTTATGCTGTTATGTAGGCTATAGTGGGGTATCCCATAGGGGGTACAACCCAATTAGGGTTTCCTATATGTACTCACTTTGTTCATAGTTCACTCATTCGCGTTCTTCTTTTCACATGGAATCAGAGCATGTCCCCTCCTAGGGACTGCTTCTAGGGCCCACCGAAGCGCGCCCCGAGGCGCGTTTTCCTTTTTTTTAGCGACCCTCCGTGTCGCCCCTAGCGGCCCGTTGCGCCGCCCTTACCTACGCGGCCCCGCCGCCCTTAAGTCACCCATTTCTCTCAATGCTTCTGTCACCACTGCCTTCAGCAACCTGTTGTGAATTACAGCAAGCAAAACACAGTGAGAGAAGCAATAAACACTTCCATTCCTTCCAACTGGACGGGATTTGACTGGGATCCAGGCAATTAAAGACTTCCATTTCATCTCACCCTCTTCATGTAGTGTGCTGCACTGTGTCACCGAAGACCACACAGTTTTTGAACCAGCCAAGTTGAAGGGCACGAGTGAAGGGCAGGCATACTATAAACAATGTGAAGCGTTTGAAGAGTAGATGGATGTGGTATGGAAATGAGGCGGGGGATGAAGTGCACGGCACAGCTGCCCCCATACTACCTTATCCCATAAGAACACACGATTTGGGCCTATTCAGTATGAATAAGAATCAAACTCACACACATGGCTGGTCATGTGGTTCACATACAGCATAAGCTGAACCCACTTCAGCCACGCTTGTTCGGCGATGGTATGAAGGGCAGGTCATGGTGCGATCTTATGATCAAACTGCTGACAGCAGGAAGAGAGGATAGGGTGGATGAGATATAAGGTATGAGATGAGGTACGAGACGAGGCATGGGATGAGGCATGGGATGAGGCATGGAATGAGTGATGGGATGAGGTATGGGATGAGGTATGGGATGAGGCATGTGGGATGAGGTATGGGATGCAGTATGGGATGAAGTATGGGAGAGGTTTGAGATATGGGATGAGGTATGGGATGAGGAATGAGGTGCACTTCCAAAGCTGTCCCAACACTGGGCTGACATGATGGCTAGTGGAGGAGGAGGACGTGAGAGGCAATGGGAAGGCAATGGTGGGTAAAGGAGGATGATGGGGGGCCGAAAGGGACTCTTGGTTCGTGCATATGGGGTGATGTAACGAGGAGCATGACATGATAGGGTGAAGGGCATAACAAAACGAGATCAACCGGGTGGCAGGGGATGCTGGGGTTTGATGATGAATGTATGAGCTAACTAAGGGAGAGATTGTGGCTACAGTGATGCTGCTTGGCAGGAGTTGTGGGGATGCAGATGGGAGGGTGATGGTGTGAGGAGGACGTGAGATGGGGATGGACAATTGGTTTATGTTCAGGTTGAATGGCAAGAAACGGTTGACAGATGAACGAGGGTGCCATGAAGTGAAGTGACGTACAGAGCACAATGTAGTTGTACGAATGAGCAACACGGCATGCGGGGAGGGTGGAGGAGCTGAATGGGGTGAGCGGAGGACTTGGAGATGAGAAGGGAGACATGAGGGAGAATGACAGGGAGGGGGTGGTAAGAAGGATACGAGATGGGTGCACAAGAGAGAAGATGGGAGGGGAGGAAGGAGGGGGATCAGTGGGGAAGGAAAGGGAAGTTGAGGGAAAGGAGAGGGGGGGAAGAAAAAGGACGAAGGTGGGGGATCAAATGGCATGATCATCCAGGAGGGAAAGCTCCTTCCGCCAATTCAGCCTCTTTGTGCCCTGCTAAGTTGCAAAATACGCTTATAGCGTATATACGCGTATCGTATATACGCTAGCGTATATACGCTATACGCGTAAGGGAGCGATTTGGACATACGCTTTTTGGGGCAGGAAAAAAACTTTCCCGGGCAGGGAAAAAAATCCGCCCGGGCTATTATAGGGGGGGGGGGGGGGGGGGATCTAAGGGGTTATGTTTCAGAGGTAAGTTTTTCTCCATTCCAAGATAACCACCCTTGTCTCGGCCCAAAATCGGGTTAAGATGCAGAGTTCGTAGGCTATAGACTTCAATAGCGTTGCGCGAATCTGCTCTGCTTCGGGCTCGCTATCCCAAGGCATGATTGCTAGAGTGTATGAGGAGGCGTAGGAGAGATCCTGGACAGGGAAACCATTGCCAATGCTGGAATTCGTGCCCCACACCCATCGCCAATGTTGCCTCCAACCAATTCCCCCTCCCATCACCTATCTTCACCGCATTGCATCTATCTCATCCAACCAATTTGATATTTGAAATTTGTACAGTCGTCACGTCACTTCCAGTCCAGATCTACAAGACGTTGATATAGGGAGAGTCTTTCCCCCCATCCCTTCTGCGGGAAGAACCTTCAATCTGCGCGGATCTGCAGGGAAGGGAAATTGCCGATCAGCGCGGAGATTGCCGTTCACTCTTGCACAAATCGCGGACGTGAATTTGACGGTGGCAAAATGCTCGTCGTGCAATTCCGCATCTTTCCGTATATTCACATTTTTTTCGGTCGGGCTGCCCCAAAAACAATTGGCAAGCGTATAGCGTATTAGCTTGCGTTTAGCGTTTAGCGTGTAAACGCTAGCGTATATCCGCTAAACGCAGTGTCCTGAGCGTATTTTGCAACTTAGGTGCCCTGAGTGAACCCATATCGAAACGGCCCAGGTTCGACTCGGACGTAACAAAATTTTCCGAGTTGCAATGGAGGAGGGGTGGGTACATGGAGAAGGGGGATGGGGTGCGGTTTGCGAAAAAATCAGATTTTGGATTACGTCATCATGCAAAAGTCAATCTCTGCTGCAGAGAGACCCCATTCCCCCCAACCCTCTCCCCTTCCACCTCGCCCTGGCAACCCTAAATCCTGTACAGACGTAAAGTCACCATGCCCTCTTCCACCCTATCCCACTCCACGTCGCCCCCTTGCTCACCCCACACCTTCCCAATGCCTTCCGCCGCCACAGCAACCCCCCCAACCATGCCAAATGTGGCCGTGAGCGCATCTACTTGAAATCGCGAGTTTTGCTTAACTCGACTTGGTCGAGTTGTGTCCCGAAAGAAAATCAATCTCGTAACTCGGTTTGTATGCCCATGTACAATGCTGTCGGTGTGCGAAGGGGAAGGCAGTGGGAGAAATGAGGGAGAGGAGAGCTAGGGACATCGGGTAGCTGATGGCATCACACCGGGAAAAGAGGTGATTAATTTCGTTCGATGGGGATTTTTTGGTGCTGCTTAACGCGCGTAAGTCTCCTGAAAAAGTCCCCATTCCACCCTGCCGCAGCTGCCCAGTCGTTCTCTGCAGCATCACGCCGCTGCCGCTGCTGTCAAGGCTGTGCCGCCCCATCACCACGCTGATGCTGTGACTGCACTCCACACTGCTGCCCACCATGCCACCGCCGCCACCATTGTGGGCACTGCGGCACTGCCATGCTGCCGGTGCTGCGGGAAGCCCAGGGAGGAGGAGGCGTCTGTGAGTGAGAATGGCATCGACTGCCAGCAACGGCGTGACACATCCATGCTCGCGCTCCTCCTGCCTATGCTGCCCGTGCTGCGTGTGCTACCTATGCTGCCCGTGCTGCGTGTGCTACCTATGCTGCCTGTTCCTGCTTGTGGCCGCCGCACTCCCTCCATGCCTGGGTGACCTTGTCTCCCTGCCCCTGCTATCCCACCTCCTCCGCTCATGTTCGTATCAATGAAACTGCCGCTCATGCTCCCCCCCATGTTCTGACCCAAGGTCCCCCAAACCCCCTTTCCCCTCCCCACCCCTTCGCATGCTCCCACCTCTGCTCCGCCTGTGTTTCCACAACTGCTCTCGCCCATGCTGCCCCCAAGTCGTCCCTTTGGGGTCGCTCAGCAGAGGAGTTGGTGCTGAGGAGGAGTAGGGGAGGCAAGGCGAGGCGTGCGGAGGAGGGGCTGGGGTGAGGGGCCTGGCATGGGCAGCGGGGGGAGAAAGAGGAGAGGCGAGGAGCTGGTGGGACGAATGTGAGAAGCAGAGACGTGGTGTCGGATGGCATGTCGTGGGGGACAGTCATAGCGGGCACGCATGTGCAAAGCATACCCAAAGAGCGAGGGAGGGCGGTCATTGAAGCAACGTGCTGGACACAGCCTGCCACCATCCGCACCACCACGGCCGCCACCCGCCAGTATGCGCGTTCCCCTCGCCCAAACTCCCTGCTAACCCCACGCTACCTGCCTCTCGCTCCTCACTCTGCCTGCCCTCAATTCACCCTGCCGCTCCACTGCGCCGGCTGCCTGTCTGCCCACCGCGCGCAGACGAAGCTGCCGCAAGCTGGGCTGGGGGGGCGAGGCACCGATGCTCACACAAGCAGCAGCTTCAGCTGCAGAAGCAGCATGGACGCGCCTCTCCAGCCCACTCACTCGTGCACACCGGCCCCACGCACCCTTCTCCATTGCGCTCTCCCCTTCCCCCTCCCCATCATTCTCACAGAACGGACCTCACCCACCCCACTCCCCGCCTCCCCCACTTCTCTTCCCTGCTGTCCACGCCCAGCGCCCCCAGCTCGTCCATCAGCCACCGCCGTGCCCTCTCGCCCCCACTTCTCTTCGCCGTGGTCGCCACCTCCCGTGCCCTCTCGCCCTCCCCTTGCTCGGAGAAGTTGTTGCGGGACGCGGGGCGGGGGAGGAGGCTACAGCGACGGCGCTGGGAACGCCACAGCCCTCGGTGAAGGGAAGGGGAAAGAGAAGGAAGGGTGGTGGCAGAAGAGTGGTTATCTGCCATGCAAGGAGAACCTTTTGCGACTGGTGTATAATTGACAGGCATATCTCTTCACCACACCTGCCACTGTTGCTGCCACTGCCCAGCCCTGTAACGCGTTGTTTGAGGAGAGGCGGAGGGCGCAGTGACCACATAGGGAGCGGGCATGGGGCCACCCGACTGCGAGAGCAGGGATGGAGGGGGAGATGGCGTGGTCCAGGGGCGAGGAGGGCCCTACAGGCATGGTGTGGCTGGCGGGTACGAAGGTGGGGTAGGCGGGGTTGGGGGGGAGGAGAGGGGCGCCGGAATACCGTGGCTTGTGCTGATGGATTGAGACGGGCACGGGGAACAGACTGGAACAGGGACAGGGGCGCAGGCACCCCTTCCCCAACAGCCACTTTGTCAGCCGCGAATCCACTTCCGCCGTTTCTGCCCATGCCTATCTGCGGCCCACACACCCTGCAACCGCTCACGCTCACCCTCACCCTTGATGCAGCGGCAGCTGCTGCTCCCCCTCAGGCTGTGACCACCCTTGCGTGGCGGCACCCTGCAGCTGCGTTGGCCCCAACGGCACGCACCCTGTCGACTGCCCAGCAAGCGCTGCCTGCCTGTCTTACTACTCCACCCTCGCCACCCTGCTCTCCACCCAAGTCCCACTCCTCCCGCATCACCGCAAGCACTCTGCTGTAGACGCGGGCGCCAGTGGTGCGCGCCTCGAGTTTCCTGCGAACGACCGAACGACTGCTTCTATCCGCTAACACGCGTCCATGTATACACTGCTGCTGATGTGAGAATCGTGAACTGCCAGCTCCACCCTGCGACGCTGCCCTTTCCAAGTGGAAGGCGGCAATCACCTGCGGGATAGCGCGGGTTGGGCGGAGGAGGGGGGGGGGGGGGGGGACGGGGGGGGGGGGGGGGGTGGGGGCGGGGGAAAGTGGGGAGGTCAGGGCGACGGAGAAGAAGGCATCAAAATGTGACAGCTGGCACATGGGGTAGCCAAATGACAAGGATGTGAGCAAAGGGGGGGTTGTCGTGGCAAAACTCGCCTCGACGCACCTTGGCTCGCATCAGTCGCTGCACCAGCGGTCGCAGCACACGCGGCACCACCCACGCCTCCACGCCTTCCTCCCCCTCGCCCTGCCCATCCTGCTTCCCCTCGTCCCCCATCTCCCTCCTGCCAGGAGTTCCCGCGGCCAACGAGAACACGACCGCCACCAGCACCACCCGCAATGTGGCCTCCACCACGCGCCGCGAGGCCTCGCGGGTTCTCGTGCCAGATGCATGCATGCTGCCACGGAAAATGTGGCGATGAGAGCCAGCGCTGGAAATGGCTCGCATGGGAAAGCTATGCTCAGATTCACTCTGCCGCATCCGCGGAGTAGCGCCAGAAACCCGGGCACGGATAGGCGATGACGCGCATTCCGAGTTCTGCTACGGCGCAGCGGTGCGTCCAAACACGTCCAGCGCGACGAGTTCTGCGAATTTTAGTGATGCGATGCAGCGATGAAGTTGCAGGCGCACGCGGAAACATTGGCACGAAGAGATGGCTTCGCCATCCCGCCCCTCGCCTTCGTCGCACGCAACAAGGCTGACGGCGTAGGGGTCTCGCGAAGAGAGGATCATGGTCCCAACGCGCGCAGTGACGTTGTTGAATATCGCACGCTCGCAATGCAATTAATTGGCGAACATCGCCTTCACGGCGCGCTATGGGGAGACTGGCGAGAGCGACAACGTGTCGATTGGATCCAGTCGCAGCGTTCGACGCAGTGACATACATGACTTTTCACGGCACGTGACGGCAGTACCTGCTCTCGAATGCGGAGTAGCGCAGGTCTCAGCTGTTTGCGCGGTAGGTGCTAACACGTACTAAACTAGGTTCTGTCAGTTTTAGAAACCAGCAGTAAAATTTGGAAGACGAACTTGGCGCGAAGCATTCTCGAAACTCAACGGTCAGCCGTGCATACAGCAAGGCAATCTCTAAACAACTTTGCCGAAGCAATTGTACCTTCGTTTAGGGTTACACATGCTTGGCGAGAGAGTTTCGCGCATCCTCTTTAAAATTTCTCCCTAGCCCCTGGAACCTTCTCAACACCTCTAGGATTCAGACCAAATCACACCAAACCAGCCGAGCCGAACCAACTCCCGTCTGAATGCGTCTCTCCACTTTTTCAACAACAGTTTTTTATTTCCACACCCAACACTCTGCGAAATTCTATAGCGGTTTCTCCACCCCGACTGGGACCAGTCGGAGTGAGAGCCTCCCGAACAGCGCCTAGGTCTTGCAAACCGTAAATCATCAGAACCTACCCTAATTATGTCGCAAGTTCTGTTGGAGAAGCGAGTTTCTGCCGCCCCAGCCCTTAGCACACAAGGAGCAGCAAGGGGGGAATGTTGGCGACGGAGTCAAGGCTTCGCGAAATATTCAGAAACTTCCGCAACCAATCAGTTTTCAGCCGAAGTCTCTTTACAGTTCGGAATCACTTTTAGCCGAAGTGTTAACGCTTTCTACAGATTTCTACAATCCAAAATCAGCTAAATCAGAGAATTCCAGAGCCTTCTTATTCATGCACCTCATGTGGCTCTCAAAGTCACTCAAGGTCCATGGAAGCAGAATTGTGCCCAAGTTCCCAAGGAAGTTGCCTTGTCTAGCAGCCTAGTTTGAGCTATCAATCTGCATGATTGTAATGCTTAAGAAGTTGTGCCTTAGTGGGCTTGTACAATCTTGAGCATAGTGTAAGTTTTCTCTCATCAAGCCAAGTCCAGCAGCTCTGTTGAGCTTTTCCAGCCAAGTTTCCAGCCTTCCACTCATCAGAGCTACTCTGTTTTACAAGTTGGTATCAGAGCTCGTCGTTTCGATCAACCTAGCCCACCACGTTCCTATCCTAGCACCATACGAACATGGCGGGAGAGAATCCATCTTGTCCTGCACTCCAGCCAGCCGGAGGAGCTTCAGAGTCAACATCAGCAGCTACTGGATTAGTGGAAGCAGTTGCACCAGGCAGTTCTTCAACAACATACTCACCACTCACCTCCTTCATGCCTAAGCTTCACCACTCACCATATGCCTAAGTTCAACGGCAAAGATTTTCCAACATGGGCAACTCAGTTTGAGCTCACTGCATCCCTTCTGGATCTGTGGCCTTACTACACTGGAGAAGCAGCCAAACCAGCAGCAGATGCTTCAGAAGCTGAAAAACGACTTTACGAACGACGCAACAAGGAGGCCTTCCTCTACCTACTCAATAGCATTCACGAGCAGCAGTTGAAGTCGCTCCTGCCCTGTTCTACCAAGGTAAACAGTGCAGAGGAAACATGGAGCCGACTGAAGACTATGCACCAGCCAAAATCCGAGAGCAGCCAAGCCGAGATGTGGAGCCGCTTCATGAATCTGAAGATGGAAGAAGATGAATTAGCACAAGCCTACCTACAACGAGCTGAAGCAATGTTGGAGGAAGCAGCAGCGATCGGCTTGGAGATTCCAGAGTCTCTTTTCAAGACCGTCATCCTCACCGGCCTTACACTGGAGTGGGACACTTTCCGTGCAACACTACAAGCGCTCCCGTAGTCAATGAAGAGTTGTGCGTTCATCTTTGAGGCCCTTGTCAACGAGCAGCAGAGTCGAGACCTTGCACATAACAAGCGGTGTGACGAAGGTGCGTGGAGTGCTGCAGCAGCTACAAGATATGGCAACCAATCCCAGAGGCAAGGAAATTTCAGCCCAAACCGCCCTCAACCATACTATGGTACGAATTTCCAGTCACCTTCCAACCCATACAAACCCTCTCGTTCTGCTCAGTCAAGTCCTCCCTATAAGTCAAGTCGCTATGTCCAGCCAAGGCCTTCTATTCCCAATCAATATCAGCCTAAGAATGCAAGAGTTAATCCGCCAAGAGTCAATAATTTCAGCCAAGCCTCAAATGCTAAAAAGTTTAATTTTGAGTTTTTTTGTTGTCATGAGTGGGGTCATCCGTGATATGCTTGTCCTAAGAAGCCTCCTAATTGGGTCCCCCCTCCTCAGCTACTATCTGAAAAGGGTAAGGCAGCCATAGCAAATATAGCAAGTCATTCTACTAGTCAAAATGAGTCCAAAGATTCTGATGGTCCTGTCCTTTTCAACGCTGCTACTTGCATGCACGTTTTTTCTACTAGTAGTGAGGAGTTTATTCTTGATAGTGGTTGTTCTGAAACCATGACTCCCTATCATTCCATTCTCAAAGATTTTCAGCCTTCGTGTGACTCAAAAGCTGTGACACTTGCTGATCTTGGCAAAGTACCTATCAAAGGAGTCGGCAAGCTTGAGTTTGAAAAGGATGGTAAGTCATTTTATGTGAATAAAGCTTTGTTTATTCCTGATTTGGGAGCAAACTTGCTCTCAGCCGGACAACTCGAAGAGAAAGGTGCCTCCATTCTCTTGCAAGGGGGGAAAGCCAAAGTGTGGGATAGTGCAGGAAATTTGGTGGCTGAAGGCAAGCGTACTGGGCGTCTCTACAAGATGAAGTTGGAGATTAAGCGCGGTTCTAGCAACGCCAAGAACGACGTTGTTTCGCTTCCCGCTGTTTCAGCCGATCAATTCAACAACAAAGGGAGTATCTCCCAAGCTGAGGTATGGCATGCATGCTTGGGGCACTTGGGGATGCAAGCATTCAAAGAGTTAGTAAGTCACAAGATCGTGGAAGGACTTAATTTGAGTGTAAGTGTAGTCAAGTCTCTTTTTACCGTCCCATGCTCATCTTGTGTCGAAGATAAGTTAGCAAGAAAGCCATTTTTTCCTTCTAAGTCTCAGTCAAGGGACCTCCTAGAGTTGGTCCACACTGATTTATTCGGCCCCATGCGAGACCCTACTCGAAACGGTAAGAAATATTTGGTGTCTTTCATTGATGACAAGAGTCGTTTCTCGTGGTCCTTTTTCATCAACACCAAGGATGAAGTGCACAAGTGTTCAAGCAATGGCTAGCACTTGTTGAGAGAGATTCAGGGAAGAAGTTACGCACCTTGAGGTCTGATCAAGGAGGTGAGTACATGGGGAAAGCATTTCAGGGGGAGTTGTTGGCATTGGGCATCAAACAACAGTTCACTTGTCCCTATAGTCCTCAGCAAAACGGAGTGGCAGAGAGGTTTCATCGCACTATTCAAGCTATAGCTACCACTTTTCTTCAGTTTAAGGGCCTTGACAAGCTCTGGTGGGGTGAGGCAATCACTATGGCAATTTATGTTCGCAACAGGAGACCCACAAGGCCCCTACCGGATGGTGTAACGCCATATGAGGCTTGGTTTGGAGTTAAACCAGATCTGTCTATGCTTCGTGTTTTTTGTTCCATGGCCCAATACCGTGTTCCAGATGCAAAGAGACTCAAGGTGGACAGCAAAGCTCATTGGGGCCTCTTCATCGACATGAGCAATGAGAGCAAGGGATGGGTCCTTTCGGATCCTGTCACCAAGCGAGAAGTGGTTTCAAGGGATGTTGTCTTCTATGAAGACATGTCCCTTGCAGGTTGGCATAAGTTTTCCTCTTCCTCCTCTCTATCCTCTATCCAACAGGAACCAGCAAGCGCACCTGAGGAAACAACACAAGAGGAGGAAGAAGATGACACCGATTCTGACCATTGCGGACCGATCATCGATCTCCCTCAAGCCATCGTCAACGAGTCCAGCCGTGCCACGCCAGTGCCACCAGCAGCTACTCAACCAAGTGGAGATGAAATTCAGCCATCAAACGAAGACCATCCACTGCAGCAAGTCACCGTTCCATCACCACCAAAGGAGCAGCAGCCAACAGTCACAAACCAGCCAGCTGTATCAACGCCAACCTCACAATTTCAACGCCGACCGGATCAGCCCACCACTACGCCATCAAACCCATCACCAGCCATCACTCCAGAGGCAACTACAGAAGCTCATCATCATCCCACGCAGCAGCAGTCAACAGCTACAAGACCCCAAGTACCTACATCAACACCATCTACGACTCTTCCTAGCAACAAGTCAACCGTCACTTCAACACCTCGTTCTCATACCACACTTTCATCACTTGTTCCAACGTCAAGCCAGCTCATAGCACGAGGATCACTTCAGAGAGTCACCACCAACACCAGCTCCAACAGTCCACTTCTTCACCCAAGACCTTTCTCAACTTCATCCCCACGTCCCGGATTCGGTCGTCATCAATTACCACCATCTTCAACACCGAGCAACAACACCAACCAGCCCCAACCATCACCACCTCTCGACAAAGCAGCATCATCATCAATTCCCAAGCTTCTAGTCTCAGCATCCCCACTAAGAGCATC